TTTTAACTATTAACTGACAAGCAGGCTCATGTCTATTTGTATCTCTTTCACCAAGATACTATCACATTTCCCTTCTTCAGCATGCTTTTTTTTAAAAAGCAGAAAGGGATTTTCCAGGATCCATTTACTCAGGTTTCAAAAGCTGTCATTGTTAACTTCTTATATGTATAGTTGAATTTAGTTTTCTGGGAAGGCAGAGACTCCTAGAGTTTTGGTATATATTGAAAATAAGTGATTTGTAGTTATGTTTGGAAAATAGACACTGGCAGAATTAAGGAAATATGCCACTGTATGTATAAAACCAAAAACACCAAACCCATTGCCATTGAGTGGATTCTGACTCATAGCGACCGTATAGGACAGGGTAGAACTGCCCCATAGAGTTTCAAAGGCTGTAAATCTTTATAGAAGCAGATTGTCACATCTTTCTCCTGCAGAGCAGCTGCTGGCTTCGAACCTTTTGGTTAACAGCTGAGCACTTTAAGCACTGCTCCACCAACGCGCCACTATATGTATACCAAAAAAACCCAAACCCGTTGTTGTTGAGTCAATTCTGACTATATGCATAGGCCACTAGAAAACTATCTAAGAAGTAGATGAATTCTTACTATTTATAGCTTTTCTTTTTATTATATAGACTATAATTTCAATGCTTTGTAGTCAGTATATCTGATGGAATTTCATTAATTTTTAAACCAATTAAAAATTTGTAATCCTAACATTAGCACATTATGTAATCAAGAGTGCCTAAACATTTTTTTGGGGGAGGGGTGGCATTGAAAGGAGACTATCATGTAAATGTATCTCAGCTAAGTCCCAAAACCACCATAACTTACAAGAATGTTAGAGGAAAAAAAAAAAAAAGGATAATTAAAGGGAATATGGAAAAAAACTAAAACCAAAACAACAAGAAAAAAACAAACCCAGGTCCTTCACCCTGTTCAGGTAATGTTATAGGTGTTGGAACTGTTAAAAACAATAGAGGTTTTCTTACCTTTAAGGAGATTTTGGTCTAGTAATTTTTGAGTGTACAGATAACTTTATAATTACCATAACAATTTAAATAACTTTAGGCAATTGTTCAGTTAAAATAGTGCTTTAACCTACATGTTTATTATTTATAATAAAATTTAAAACAAGTATTTCAAAGTTGTTATCTCAAAATAATGTTAACGTATTTATAATAAGAAATGGAAATGAAGTCTTATTCACCAAAACTATGTTTATCATTGTACCAGTAATTCATTTCTGAATTGGTTCTTCACAATGACATGCTTTTCTAGGTGAAACATTTTGAATTGTTATATGTAGATAAATGTATATTTTTGTATTCCAAGATGTGATGATTGCTTTTCAATGCCAAGCATAATTAATGCAATTGGCCCCTGTCTATCTGACCTGTCTCCCTCTGCATTTCTCCTTGTTGGCACAGCTCCAGCCTCACTGTTGTCTCTGTCACTTGAACTTAAGTTTTTTTCCCAGCACAGGGCCTTTCAATCACTGCTCCTTCCTTTTGGAATGTCATTCCCCCAGAATTTTCCATGGCTGCCTTCTTCTCATTATTCCTGTGGCAGTCTAGATGTCACCTCCTGTGTGCCTCCCTACCCCACATTTTCTGTGCCCTTGCCCTGTTTTATTTTCTTCATAACATTCATTACTACCTGCCATATTACATTTTTATTTATTGTCTGTCTTTTCCCATGTAAGTTTAAATTATTTGAAGGCAGGGATTTTGTCATGTTCACCTCTGTATCTCTAGCACCTAGAACTGTGCCTGGTACATAGTAGATGCTCATTAAACATTTATTGGCTATTTTGTAGAGTATACCAAAATTACTCTAGCTAGTATAGTGTAATGGTTTAAGGCACGAATTGTAGAGCAGGCTATTTGGATTCTCATCTTGGTCTTGGTACTTACTAGGTGTTAGACTTGGGCAAAAGTTACTTAACCTTCTTTGTCTCGTCTGTAAAGGGGAGATAATATTACTTCTTAAAGAGCTATTGTTAGGTCAAAATGAGTTATATGTAAGAATGATGCCTGATGTATAGATCTGAGTCAGATATTAATATTATTATAAATGCCTTGATTTTTCCTCACCTGCCTACAGGTGACCATCTGAAGGCTTCTCTCCCTTCTTATTTCCCCATTCTTTCGTGACTAAAACCATCTCCTTACTGGTCTCTGTGCAGCTAGTCCCCTTAGCTGTACAATGACATTGTTTAATCTTTCACAGTTATTGCTTTGACTCTCCTCCATCCTCTGCTTCTTCTCAAACCCTTTAATGATTCACCAGTGGATACCTCCTCAGAATAATGTTTTAAAACACCTAAAATAAAATGCAAAATAAACAAATTATATTGAAATACAATTATCAAAACATTAAAAATAGTTATGTATATGTTTCTTTATCAGTACATTAAATTATAAAATCTAAGGACAGGTATAATAACTACCATAATTTTGAGTGTTGATGAGCATAAACAATATTTTAGGACATCTCAAACATTGTTATGTGATGAAAATGTAATGTCACTGGGATTTGTTGCCTACATTCACAGTTGAAGGAAATGCCGAATTTTAGTTAGAGATTAATGATAATAAGAATGTAGTTTTTTTCTCATCCAAGTGTATGGATTCCCCTGATTAAACATTTCTTCATGTATGAGTCTCTATATGCTAACTCCAGCCTATGCATCCAAACTTAAGTTTGACCTTTGCTCGACATAAGCTGAGCCTACAAAGAGTAGGAAATGATAAGCTTTCATGGTTCAACAAATATTTACTGTGCCCCACGTTTGCAATGTCTCAGGTACTGTATTAGGAAATGGAAATCCCAGAGTAGGTCTCTACCTTTCTGAAGCCTCCTATCTAGTGGGGGAGGATATCTATAAATAGTAAACAAATATATAAATATAACATATGATAAATACTCTTAAGAAATCAAATAAGTGTAATGTATTTTGAGGAGTTGGGGCGGGGATATGGTTACCTAGGTACTTGGTCAAAGGAAAAACTTCCTGGGTATTTGCTACTTCAGCTGAGATTGAAGGATGAGACGGAGTCAGCCAGAGTGATGAGTCAGGCATATGAGGTTAGGATTGGGGCTTGGGGCAATATTTTAGGCAAACCAAAAAAACCAAACCCGTTGCTCTCAAGTCAGTTCTGACTCATAGCGACCCTATAGGACAGAGTAGAACTGCCTCATAGAATTTCCAAGGGGTGGCTGGTGGATTAAAACTGCTGACCTTTTGATTAGCAGCCGTAGCTCTTAACCACTGTGCCACTAGGGCTCCATTTTAGGCAGAGGGAACAGCATATGTGATGTGCCTGAGATGATAAGATCCTTCCTTCATCCACCCAGTTTCTCTCACCTCCACCTGTGCTGTTTCTTGTAAATCCTTCTAGAGTCTCTTTAGTAGCAACCAAACAAATAGAAATACTTATTTTTGTTTTTCTTCCTTTATTACACAAATGGTAGTGAACTATACACCCTGTTTTAAAGTTTTATATTTTTGTTTAATAATATGTATTGGAAATCTTTACGTATTGGAAATCTTTCCATATCTCTACATAGAACATTTTCTTATTCTCTTTTTGTTTGTTTCAAACCATGATATTCCATTCTGTGTCTGGACCATGGTTTATTTAAACAGATCCTGTCCATGAACTTTTGAATCTATTCTAATATTTTACTATTAAAAACAATGCTATAGTTAGTTAATAACTTTGTATGTGTGTTATTTCACACGTGCAAATGTATAGTATCTGTAGGATAAATTCTTGGATGGGAAATTGCTGGTCAAAGGGAAAGTGTGTATTTGTATGATAGATATCGTCAAGTTGCTTTGCATAGAGATTTCATTCGTTTATCTTCCCAAAAGCAATGCATGGGAGTACTTGTGTTTCCACAAACACACATTTGCAGTGTGTTATAAAACTTCCAGACTTTCACCAATCTCATAAGTCACGTTTGAGGAATAGTAGAGATGCCAGGAGTGAGCTGTAGAGTGAGCTAAGGGATGTTCGGAAGGGGTGGGCAGATCACCTAGAATACTGCAGACCAATGTAAAGAAAAGGCTTTGGATTTTACTTTAAGTGCTATGGTAAGTCATAGGAGTTTTTTTTTTTTTTTTTTTTTCCAGAAGAGTAGCGTGATTCAGCCTTCTTTTCGTTACTCTGATTCCTTTATGGAGACTGTAGAGGGCTATTGCTTTGGTTTAGGGAAGAGAGAATGTTAGATTAGATCATGGATATAGTGGTGAAATTTGTGAGAAGTGGTTTGATTCTGATTGTACTTTGAAAAGTGAGCCATCCAGATTCACAGATGGGGGATGTGAGAGAAAGAGCTAGCCTTGATTTCTCGCTGAGATTGTTTTGGCCTGAGCAACCCGAACGACACTTTGCCATTTACTAAAATAGAGAGCATTGCAGAAACAGCAAGCTTTGGGAGGGAAATCAAGAGTTTGGCCTTGGACACGTTAAGGAGGAGAATGCTACTGGTATAAGTAGCACATTGGATATTAGATGCTTTAGTTCGGAAGACAGGTCTTTGTTAAAACTTTTCAATGGGCCGCTGCTAAGTAAATAAATTCTAAATTCCTAGCATCGCATTCAAGGTCTCTTTTATCTGACCCCAGCCTACATTATAAGCCTTGTCTCACACTATTACCTTACATAGACTAAACGAAGCAGGCGTTATTACGAATGTGCTAGGCTGTTTTCTATTTTAATGCTGTTGCCTATGCCATTCTTTTTACCTGGAATGTCTGTCATCTCCACTCTACCTATGGGAATACTATCCAGTCTTCATGACTTTATGCATAAGAGTAGAGAGGAAAAAGTGAGCCATAGAAAGAAAAAAGTATGTTTACTTTATGACATTTAATGAAAGACAGCTGGCTGTTGTATTCCTAGGTGCTCATTAACCTGTGGCACAAATTGTCATCTCTTCTTAGTGACTGTTGTAAAAAAAGTTAATTTTTATTTTACTTATTTTCAGATGGGAACATTTAAAGCACATGATGGTGAATATTTCCTAGAACCTATAATGAAGGCAGATGGGAGTGAACATGAAGATGATCACAACAAGCCACATCTTATATACAGACAGGAGTTAAAGAGAAACCATTTTCTGCAACCTCACAATTCTTGTGAAGTTTCAGGTACATTCTGTAAAACAAAATTCTTCTCAATTAAATTATGAATCTATCTGAACATTTTTATAGATAAGCTTACAGTTTACATATTTTCTTAAATAATGAAGTATATGATATTTTAAAACTGATTTTTTATGACTTATAAGGGTCCATTAGAAATTATCTAATATATGTTGGCAATTTTGTTGTAGTAGACCAAATTTAAATAGAAAATAGAATTCAGTATATGAAATTCATAGCAAATCATCATAGAAAATTTTCACTTTAATCTTTTACTCACACTAGTTTAATTTGCTTTTTCTCAGCAGAGTTTTAGATAACAATAATGATAAAAAAAATCTAGACTTTTTGTTGACCAGTGTATTAGATATTTCAAAATATTTCAACAAAAAAGTAATAGTTTTAATCTGATTTGAGAAATATAAATTTTTAAAATAATTCTTTTGATCAATAAATGTATTTATATCCATAAGCATATATATATTTGCATGACAAAAAAATAATATAAAATGAACCTTAACGTGTTCAAAACCTAGGTTAAGAAATTGAACATAGTTATTAAGATTAAAACAATAACCTTGAGCGCTCTTTGTGTCTCTACCTGGTCCTAGCATTTTGAAATTTTGTGTTTTACTTCTCATTCTTTTGCTTTTTAAAATGATTTTGCTAATTTAAGTATATTAAGAGTGTGCGTGTGTGTGTGTGTATACCTAAGTAACAATATCCATCCCTAAATAACGATAACACATCGCTCAATTTTGTATGCTTTTAACTTTATATAAATGTAAACATATTGTATGTATTTTTCTGGGACTTGCGCTTTTCTCTCAGTGTTGTTTCTGAGATCCGTCTATGTTGGTGCATGTAGCAGCGGCTCTTTCATTTTCATTACTGTGCTGTATTCTGTTGTCTGAGTATATCACAGTTCATATATCCATTATCCTGTGGATGAACTTTTGAGTGTTTTGTGGTTTTTTGCTGTTGTAAGCAATGCTGCTGTGAATGTTCTTATCCCAATCTCCAAGTGCCTGTGTTTGAGAGTTTCTCCAGGGTATACACATAGAGGCTAGATAATTCCACATTGTTTTTACAGAGTGGTTTTTATCAATTTATACTTCCAGCAGTATATGAGAGAAGTATATTTTCCTTATAAAATTCAGACTACTGAAGGTTTACAATAGATGAGAATCTAAGAATCGTAGATTTCTGTAAAGTCTATAAATCTGTTGCTAGTAAAATAATGTACTTGTATATTGAATAAAAATTGTATTTATTAAGAGTCATGTCCATATATATACATGCATCTTCACTGTTCATGATGACATACAGAGATATGGTGGAGAAAAGTCATCTGCAGTTATCATCAAAGTACAAAATCTAGACAAAAGAGTGGGATTAGGAAGGATTTATTTGAGATTGTAGGTATCCATATACTATAGTTCCAAACACTGCAATGCCATCTGTTTTGGGATATAATGATATGTAGGCCTTTGAAGGTTCCCCCTGGGAATGCGCTTCTTAACCTTTGCTATTATAAGAGTGCCATTTTGGAGTGGTTCTCACTGTGTCTAAGGCCGTGTTTTAAATCTATTGACATAATAGATGCCTTTCTTAAGCTTTTAATATGAGCATAAGGGTTTCATTTTTATGGCTTCAAAGAAAACACAAGTGGGTACAGCTTCACAATAGAGTTCTACAGAAGGCAGCTTATGCTTGCTCTGATCTGCCATTCAGAAGCAGCTTGTTTAATGAATTGTTTAGCTTCTTTAAGAAGAAAACCACCAACTAGACATTCTGAATGCATAAATGCTTTAGATAATGATATGCAGGGTTTTGCATTCACAATCAGTATTCATTATCAGCAAGAAAATGGTGCAAGAAAAGCCAGGCTCTTTTGTTTAAAAAAAAAAAAAACTAAAAGATTTATTATAAAAACTACGAATAAAAAGCAAATAGAAACCTATGGGGTTTACTTTTCTTTTAATCACAATAAGCTTTTGTCTATAACATTTATCCACTAAAATGTTTATCCCTTCTTTTCAATCTTAAATTACCTCCATTTTTAGGTACAATGAACATACACATTTTTAATCAATAATAAAGGCTATCAATTAATGACCAAAATAATTAGCTGTTAATTCATTGTTTTGTTAGTAAAAGTGGAGAGTTATGAATGTAATTAGTAAAGAGTTATCTAAGGAGTTTTTCCTCCCAATTATCACATTGTTCAGAAATACTTAAAAAATCACGTTTTTTATTCTAAAGGATGAACCTGCATGAGAATCCTCCAAACTGATGGGCCTAAAGTTTAACACATGAACCAGAATTATTAAATGGAAAAGGAAAAGTGATTTTTTTTCCTCAATATGTTTACTGATGGTTTTCGTTCATTATGACCCTAAAATGTTACAGTTCTTAGTGTCATCAGCCTTAAAGAATTAAATTATTTGTAAAGTGAGATTTTACCCTGTGGGTAAATGGGGCCATGCAAATTAAATTTGGTAGCCAAGCCTAGTAGTTATGAATGCCAGGATATCAGATAGATACCAGATATCTTTTTAGTAAAATCCATTGGAAATGGCAAAACAAGTAAAAAGAAAGCCCACAAAATGAGCAAACACCAAACAACCAACCCACACCACCACCAAAACAAAACAAAATGAAACCCAAGGGGAGAGAAACCCTGAAAAGACTGAAGAATGAAAAACATCCCTGAATTCTGTTAAGTGTAGATCTGCTGTTGCTTGTATTCCAAGGCAGATGACAACTGGTCTGCATTCCTTAGGAGACTGGTGAGCCTGCTCCATTTTTTCCATTGCCCACCTGCCCCTCTCATCTTAGTGTCATGGGACAGGCGTGTAGAACATTAGTAGAACAATAAAACAGAGGATTTGATGTGAGTGAAAATAAAATGTTTTTGAAAACATTTTAGGATGATGTTGGCCAGCTTTTAACATTTCTGTACTTTTCCTAATTTTTTAGAGTTATTTTTAATTCTTAAATTCTTTGAGTCCCTAGAGTGTGTAAAGGATTATACTAGGTAGGCTTTGGGTCTGGCTATTTAGGTTTTCAAAGCCCAGCGGGTGTAAAAGAACATGAAAACAGAAACACAACACTGAGCACAGTCTCCTCTAACACTGTTAACAGTGTGGTATGTAGCTCAAGGACCCGAGCAACAAACTGTCTTCCTGGTTTTACCACGGAGGTGGCATTTAAACCATCTAACTTCCCTTGTGAAGAATATGTAGGCATTTTCAAGGACGGGGGATGAAAGGCTATAGACAGAGGGAGTAGTATTTGCAGCCACAAAGTTCTGATGTGTGTTGTGCAATGAATCACTTTTATATGGCCTTTCTAGCTATTGTTTTGTAACTCCCACAAAATGATTGGCCGGGACTATGCAAACTGAGTAACTTATGGTCTTCAAGGGGATTGATCAGTTTGTAGTCCTGCTGGGAGGGCCATGCCTTGAAATTGACAAGAAGCTTGCTTATAAAAGGGCCAATCCCACAGAGGTTTGGGGGACCTCACTACCACCAAGAAGAGTCTGGAGTGGAGCACGTCTCTTGGACCAAGGACCTGAGGTCCCTGTGCTGAGAACCTCCTAGACCCAGAAGAAAGAGATGTACTACTGAAGAAGGCCTGAGACGGTGAGAGACAGTGGCAGTGGGTTTGCACCTTTGGGCAGAGGCATGCCAGTGGAGCTAAAAGAGCTGTAATGCTTGTGCAGGGCAAGAGAGGCCTGAGTGTGCCCTGTGCAGGGGTTGCATGCCCCCCACCCCTGGACAGTGGGGGCCTGGGTAGCAAGGCGGCAGAAGAGCCCCACGGTCCCAGGTAGAGTGGTGGGAACCAGAGGCAGAAGCATAGAAGGGCCCAGTGACAGAGACTTGGGAGTTCCTGTGCAGGGGTCCTCCCACTGGTGAGGCAAGGCCCAGTGAGGCCCAATGGCAAAGCAGAAGCCTCGGGCAGCATGGTGGTAGCTGGAGGCAGCAGTGACATGAACACAGCATCAGACCTGAACCATGGTGTGCCTGCCTAGCAACGTGAGAATGGACATGGATAATTTGGGGAATGTTAAGTGTTTTCCCTTTGAGAATCTGTTGTTATTAACTACTGTTTTCTTTCTATAAATAATACAGTAAAACCTGTGAATACTGGAACTTGTGTAAGGCAGAAACCTGTCAGAGAAGGACAGCACAAATATTTTCCACTAACAGAGAGATAGAAAAGTGGTAAGATTGCACCCTGTCAAAGGTGGAAAACTTGCGCGATCTGGGAAAACAAGGCAGTCCTGTTGAGTTCCAGCTCTCACAGTTTTCAGTGTAATACTGACTTTTACTTTGCAAACAACTGTTTAAGTGTCTCGTGTGTCTGGCTTGATCACAGACGAACATAGTTCCATAGAACAGTGGGTGCCAGTGGGTGTATGTGTCTTGTTCCTAGCTGTCTTATGGCTGCCCAGAAGTTTGAGGCACAGCCCGTCTGCATGTGCAATGGAGACAGACAGATGGAGCAATACATATATGTAGAAGAGTAACTTGTTCGCTATGGCAGGAGAGTAAGGTGCAGGTGTGTGGGAAGTAGGCGGGAGACGAGGCTGGGAAAGTACTCAGAGGCCGGATCTGAAAGGACTTTTTATCCTAAGCTAAAGATTTTGTAGGTTATCCTGTAGGCATTGGGAAAACAAAGAAGTTTTAAAGCAGAGACTTCATATGATACGCTTTATTTTTTTTTAGTTTATCGCTCCACTGGCATAGCAGCTTTTTTTTTTTTTTTTAAGTTAATTGTTGGATTTCAATGAGAAGAGACTGAAGGCAGGGAGACTGAATCAAAGAAAAAGCTATCTTGTCAACAAAGGATTTAAATGTCAAACCAAGTGTACACAAAGAAGTAAATTGAAGATAGTTTCCTTAAAGTGTTTTTTGCAGTGTTGAAGAGATGTTAAAGACTTTTTTTCTGAGTAATCCATTTGGATGATATATCTGTGAATGTATGAGAGCTGCCTT